AAGATGAGGACATGAAAAATTTACTGGATTATTCTAATTTGTGTTTAACACCTAAAAATAAATGTTTACAAATAAGATAGTCATCTTATCTCCAACAAAATAAGCCATAAACAATTTCAAAAGTACAATCTGGTTTTCAAAAGAAAAACTGAACAATAATAAGCTAGAACCTATTAAAAATACATTTGAAATCTAGAATGAATATATCCATGGTAACTTTGTTCCAAATTTAGATATGACACCCAACGAACAGTTCAGCACATTGCCCATTGTGGTTGCATGTACCTTCAAAGCAAGGAAAGTTAATAGTTGTAATTTAGTGTACCTGTTCTTTTTTGTCAGGTTGAGTAGTGGCTAAAGCAGTAGAATGCCTGCCTAGCAAGTGGTCTCAAGTTTAAACCCCAGTACCACCAAAAAAAGTAAAAACTTCTTGCTGGATGCCAGTGGTCTACCCTTTGCTGAGATCTTCAAAGGATCTCAAGTCCAGGCCAGCCCAGACAAATAGCTCACAAGACCCCCATCTCCAAAACAACCAAAGCAAAATGTACTGGAGGTATGGCTCAAGTGGTAGAGTGCCTGCTTTGCAAGTGTGAAGCCCTGAGTTCAAAACACATTTCTGCCAAAATAAATAAAAATAAATTATTTTTTATGGTTTGTCATGTCTTATTATGCTTTTTTGAGACAGGGTCTCATTCTATAGCCCAAACTGGCCTCAAACTCAGGATCGTCCTGCATGTGCCTCCTGCTTTTAAATTCTTGTTAAAGTTTCCCGTAGATTTTTTTCACTTTACCTTTTCTTATTTTGTAAAATTATTCATAAATCATTTAAAAAATATAAATGGCATCCAGTTAACCCAGATGGTAAGTGGAGATGACTGTTTTTTCTTATTCTCTTAAAGTTAAAATGTTCCAACTCTTCTCTTCTAGAATCTTTTAAAAGAAAATGCATCTCAAAAGGTGCATAGTGCCTCGTTTGTTTTTCTGGACTTCATTTGCATATTTCACGATTTCTGCAGCTCTAGAACTCATGAAATTTGGTTATATTATAATGTATGGTCATTAACAGGATAACAACAGATAACAATGTTGCATATTCAAATCCCACTTTTTTAAAAATTGTTTTAAAATTCATGATTTTCTTATAATTCTCAACACAAGAGAATTTTCCTTCATTCATAATTGTGTCCTGCTATATATTTATATTGAAAAATTTAATAATTTGCTACATCCAAAACTGAAAAGGAGCCAGGCACCAGTGGCTCATACCTGTAATCCTAGCTTCTCAGGAGGATCGTGGTTTGAAGCCAGCCCAGGCAAATAGTTGGCAAGACCCTACCTTGAAAAAAGGTATCACAAAAAAGGGCCGGTAGAGTAGTTCAGGGTATAGACCCTGAGTTCAAACCCCAGTAAGGCATTTTAAATTTGAGTAACTTTTAAATTTTCAGTTCTCTAGTTCTATTTGTATTGCCTATTTCCTTTGTTACTCCAACATAGTAAAATCTCCCAAAATCTCCGTTCTCTGAACTCATAGTACTTTCTGTTTATTGGTAAATTAACAGCATTTGGGCTGGGGGTATAGTTCAGTGGTAGAGAGCTTGCGTATAATACAAGCCTGAGGACCTGCTAGATTTGATTCCCACCAGCACACATACACACATACGGATTAACATTTAGGCTTCTGGGCTTTTTCATTTGAAATGAAACTGTTTATGGCTCAGTATTTATCCACCTTTAACACATTTAAATTATTTCCAAATTTCCAGATTTTGTTATCAGGACCTTTTAGTAATGTTTCAGTTGTTTTTCTCAGCATGGTCAGTCCTAGGAGTAGACTTGAAGGTTTAAAGACTTTGGGTTCATTTTGCTAAATACCCTTCAGGAAGGATGTTTATATTTCCTCCCACAGCTCTCCCCAGTAAGTCACTCCCTGCTCCCTTTTAGTAAAATCTTTGTCATTCTGAATTTGTCTTTTTACATTATCATTAGTATGGGTAAACATTTATTTCAAGTATTTGTTGACCAGTTTTATATCCATATGTTGCATGTACCCATCCTCAGTGTTTTTTTCCTCATTTCTAAGAGTTCTCGTACATATGTTAGAGATGACTTGTACCAAGTTGTCATTTTGTTTTACTCTTTAATTTTGTTTATGATGGTGTTTTTCTGCTCTGAAGTTTTTATTTTTATTGTAAACATTTGTATAAAACATTTCCTTTAGGACCATGCTTAGGAGAAAAAATTTATATCTCTGTTGTCTGGCACATAAGATATTCAATCAATAATTTTGTGTTAATTTAAATTTTTACCCTATATGGAGGGTTTTTTGTTTGTTTGTTTCTTGGGGTTTTTTTGTTTGTTTTGTTGTTGTTTTTACTTTGGGGTAGTAATATGGTTTGAACTCAGGAATCTCAATTGCTAGGCAGGCACTCAACCACTTGAACACCACCACCAGTGTTGGAATGTATTTAAATATAAAATACAACATAAGACTATGCTTTGTAATATAAATATTATTTTACTTATGTTACAGTTTAGCAGTTTTCTCAAAAGAATTTATTGAATAATTCAAATACTTACACACACACACCCCCAACCATCTCTCTCTCTCCCTTCACCCCTTTCTTTGAATAGCATTACCATATTAAAAAATTCTTTCTATTTTTTAATTCATATTGTCATCTCAGACACCATTAGGCATCTTGATGACAAGGTATTAATGAGATTTGGTATAATGAGATTTGGTGCCAGAAACTATGGTAAGCACTTAATTAACATTACATGTGTGTCCCCTGAACAGCTCTTATAAACCAGGCATTTTTAATTTCCATTTTACTAATGATGCAACAACAGATTGGAGGTTTAATAAAAGACATGTCCTGAGGGGTTAAAGATACAGCACAGTAGTACAGTGTTTGCCTAGCATGCAGAAGGCCCTGGGTTCAATATCCAGCACCTCAACAAGCAAGCCAACAAAAATAACAAAAAAGAGGGGCTGGCAGAGTGGCTCAAGTTGTAGAGCTCCTGCCTACCAACTGCGAGGCCCTGAGTTTAAACCCCAGTACCACCAAAAAAAGAAAACCATAAAAATAACTTGCTCTCTAAGTCCCAGAGGACTGGAACCTAAATCTGCCTAACTCTAAACAAACTATGCTGTCCTGCCTCTCCAATCTAGTAGAACCTCATATCTGGGAACTCCTTACTGCACTTTTACTGCCTGGAGGATGCTTGTGCACTGGGGTGGGGACCAGAGGCCTGACCTATCTACCAGCTTTGCCACTACTTACTTACTTACTTGTAGAATCTCAGTTTGTTCAACTGTAAAACAGACAGATTCAACACCAGTGATTTTCAAACTGTGTTCAGTAGAACATAGGGAGTGCCTTGGAGTCTGCCACACAGCAAAAAGGCACCAAAAAGTGCTCCCTCTGCATCCATCCTAACACATCATCTCCATTGCTTTCTGTTGGGCTTCTTGTTAAGTCTAATATGTAAAGAATAAGTGTGTCTGAAAAAAAAAGATTAGCCAGGTGCAAGTGGGTCTCAGCTGTAATCCTAGCTACTTGGAGGCAGAGATCAGGAAGATTGCAGTTTAAGCCAGTCCAGGCAAAAAGGGAGAACCCATTTCAAAAATATTCAATATAAGAAAGGACTAGACTGGCAGAATGGCTCTTGCGCCTAGTAAGCATGAGACACTGAGTTTAAATCCTGGTACTGCCAAAAAAAGATAAAAGAAAGTTTGTTTGTTTGTATATTTGTTTTTTTAGCTATGGAATTACAGACCTCCAAGATCTCTGCCAATATTTTTTTAAATTTTGTTCATATGTGCATACAGTGTTTGGGTTATTTCTTGCCCCCGTCCCCTCCCTTAACCCCTCCCCACCCTCTTCCTCTCCTCCCCACCCCCTCGCTATCAGACAGAAACTATTTTGCCCTTATCTCTAATTTTGTTGAAGAGACAATATAAGCAATAATAGGAAGGGCCAAGGGTTTTTGCTAGTTGAGATAAGGATAGCTATACAGGGAGTTGACTCGCATTGCTTTCCTGTACATGTATGTTACCTTCTAAGTTAATTCTTCTGGAACTAACCTTTTCTCTAGTTCCTGGTCCCCTTCTCCTATTGACTTCAGTTGTTTTAATATATCTGCTTTAGTTTCTCTTCATTGAGAGCAACAAATGCTATCTAGTTTTTTGGGTGTCTTACCTATCCTCATACCTCCCTTGTGTGCTCTCGCTTTATCATGTGATCAAAGTCCAATCCCCTTGTTGTGTTTGCCCTTGATCTAATGTCCACATATGAGGGAGAACATAGGATTTTTGGTCTTTTGGGCCAGTTTAACCTCACTCAGAATGATGTTCTCCAGTTCATCCATTTACCTGTGAATGATAACATTTCATTCTTCTTCATGGCTGTATAAAATTCCATTGTGTATAAATACCACATTTTCTTAATCCATTCGTCAGTGGTGGGGCATCTTGGCTGTTTCCATAACTTGGCTATTGTGAATAGTGCCGCAATAAACATGGGTGTGCAGGTGCCTCTGGAGTAACCTGTGTCACAGTCTTTTAGGTATATCCCCAAGAGTGGTATCGCTGGATCATATGGTATCTGTCTCTGATTTTCCTAATCCTTTTAACTGTTCTGTTATCAGTATCACATATGACACTAATAAACAAATTCTCTCCTTGTATTTCACTGCTTTAAGCTGCTCTGGCTGTTCTCATACATTTACTCTTACAGCTGAACTTTACTATCATTTTGTTGTGCCCTAAAACTCTTGTTGGAATTTGGGTTTTTTATTAACTTGAAGCAATTAATGTCTTAAAATATTTAGTCTTCCCATCAAAAATATTGTAAGTCTCTCCATATATTTGTCTGTTTAGATTTCTTTAATAGTTTTTCATGTACGATAGTGTCTGGTTTATTTTCACTTTTTATATTGATCTTTGTAGCTAACTTGGATGTGGACGTGAACCATTTGAATCTTTTTTTCCTTTTAAGCTTTCGTCAGAAGTGATAAACCCAAACTGTTCAGAGGACTACAAATCAAGGTAAGGTGCTAGTAATGAAATCTCTTTTTTTCCAGTATTTTTTTTTAACTAAAACAAATACTATTTTCCATGCCTCAGTAACTCCTTTTTATTACTGAACAATGTTCTGTTGTACCACAGATTGTTTGTTGTTGTTGTTGTTCACTTGTGGGAAGGACATATCCTTTGCAGTTTTTGGCTGTTAACCACTATAAACATTTTTATATACTTTGTGTGTACATATACATTTTCAACATAGAAATACCTAGGAGCCTGACTGCTAGATTGTGCAGTTACGATTGTTTAACTTTGTAAGGAATTGCAGAGCTGTTTTACAATTTGGTTGCATGATGCTGCACTTAACACTAGTATTGAACAAGAAGGAGTTCCTGTTATGCTATTTCATCACCAACACTGGGAATTGTAACTGTTAGGGTTTTAGCCATGTATAGTGGTATCTCATTGTTGCTTTATTTGCTTGTTAGCCATTTATATATCTTACATGGAGCATTGTCCCTTGCCCATTTTTAATGGGTTGTTTCTTTTGGTGTTGAATTGTAGAAGTTCTGTATATTTTTTGGATTTTTAACCCCTTATCACATGATTTGCAAATGTTTTCTTCTCTCATCCCTTCCATAGGTTGTCTTTTACAGTCTGGTTCATTGGGGTTATTTTATTTTGTTTTGGTGGTACTGGGGTTTGAACTCAGGCCCTCATACTTGCTAGACAAGTGCTCTACTGCTTGAGGTACTCTGCCAGCCCCATACCCAACTCTGCCTGTAGGTGTCCAGTTGTGAAAAGACTATCCTTTCACCTATTACATTACCTTTTCTCACCTATCAAAGATCAGTTGACTGTAAGTCTTGAAGTCAAGTAGTATAAGTCCTCTAACTTTGTTTTTGTATATTGTATTAGGTGTTCTGGACCAAAATAACTTGATGGAATTTTGATTGGGATTGCATTTAATTTATAGATCAAATTGAGAAAAACTGACCTGTTAATCATACTGAGTCTTTCTAGCTACGAACGTGAGATGTCTTTCCTTTATATTTAGGTCTTATTTGATTTATTTTTCACTTAGAGTTTTGTCATTTTCCTCATATAGTTCTTACATATATTTTGTTACATTTATACCTAAGAATTTCTCTAGGACTTTTTTTCTCCCCTTCCTGATTTTGTGCTGTGCTAGTCATCTTTCTGTTACTATAACAAATGCCTGAGATAAATCAACATGGAAGATTTATTTTGGCTCAGTGTTTTGGAGGTTTCAGTTCATGGTCAGTTGAGTGACCCCATTGCTTTACGCCTATAGCAACACATCATAGCAAGAGCATATGGCGAAGCAAAGCTGTTCAACTCATGACTCGGATTGAGTAAGAGACCAGAGTCCCACATTCTTCTTTAAAGGCACACACCCAATGAGTGGAAGACCTCTCACTAGGCTCTACCTTTTAAGGTTCCACCATCTCAGTGGTGCCAACCTGGGGAGTAAGGGTTTGGCACATGGACCTTTGGGGAATATTAGATCCAAAATGTAACAGGTGCTGGTTAAATGGTGTTGTCTTTTTCATTTCAAATCCTACCTGTCCATTACTATTATGTAGGAAGACAGGTGATTTTTTCATATTAACCTTGTATCCTGAAACCTCTCTATAATCCCTAACTAAGCTCCATGTGGGGTTTTTTGTTGTTGATTCTTTGGGGTGTTCCTTAGAGACAACGGTGCCATCTGTGAACAAAGAAAGTTGTATTTCTTCCTTTTCCACCTGTATAATTTGTTTCCTTTTCTTGATTTAGTGCATTTAGTAGGACTTCCAATACAGTGTTCGATCTGAGTAGTGAGGAGGGACATCCTTGCCTTGTTCTCATTCTGAGGGAGAAAGCATCTGATTTTTCACTGTTATGTATGGTTTTTAGTTGTAGGGTTCTTGTTTGTTTGTTTACTGCTCTAAGGATTAAACCCAGGGACTCTGGCATGCTAGACAAGTGCTGTGCCACTGATTTCACCTCACCCTACCCCCAGCCTGGCTTCAGGTTGTGATCCTCCTTCCCTAGCTAGGATTACAGTCATGCATCATACCCAGCTTATTTGTTGAGATGGGTTCTCACTAACTTTTTGCCTGGGCTGACTTCAAACCCAATGTCCCAAGTAGCTGGGATTACAGGCATGAGTCTAGCTTTTTATGTATTCTTTATCAAGTTGAGCAAGTCCCCTTCCTACTATGCTGAATGTGTATCATGAATGGGTAATGGATTTTTTTTTATTGTTGTTCAATGCTTTTTGTGCACAAATTAATGTGATTATATGGTTTTCTTTATTTAACCTGTTATAGTATTGGATTATAGTAATTAATTTTTAAATGATACACCAGACTTGCATACCAGTAACAAATCCCAATGAGTCACACACAGATGTATGGTTCCAAGGAGACCGCCATTGAGGGAAAAACTGCATCTGTTTAGGGTTCAGTACTGTACTACAGATGCTTGATTCATTTTTCCCATAATGCCTTCCAACTTCCATTAAAGACCTGCTGCCTTTCAACAAATCTAAAATTTTCACTTTATCACTTAATTAATTGTTTTTTTTTGTTTTTTTGGGTTTTTTTGGTGGTGGTACTGGGGTTTGAACTCAGGGCCTCATGCTTGCTAGGCAGGTGCTCTACCACTTGAGCCTCTTCCCCAGGCTAAGCACATTCACTTTCACCTTGCCTTTTGGGCACCACTTACTTTTTGGAAGGCAGATTTTCACAACATGAAGGACAGGGAAATTTTGAGCAGGTCACACAATGATCTGAACATAACTAAGGATAGCACAGGACTGAGAACTTCTCCACATCAACTGAGCTGCCTAATGGGCATATGGGAATTTAAATTTTTTGTTGACATTTCTTTTGATTTATTTTTTTTAAGCCTCATTTGGTCAAAACTGCATGTAATAAACCTGCAAATAAAATAGGCTTGTTGTAATTCCTTTTACATATTGTTAGATTTGATTTGCTAATATTTTGTAACTGCTTTAACATTTTTGGATTAAAATAAGTTTTTTAGTAATCAAAACTTAGAAATAGTTTATGTAATAACTTGCTCAGAAATGCTGAAAGAATATTATTGCTATTGTTATAACTGATTCATTAGCTCAGAGGTCCCATATTTCTTAATTCCACAAATGGTTGGGAATAAACTGGCATGATGGGACATGCTTGTAACCAGCTACTTGGAAGGCTGAGGAAATAGGATTGCAAGTTCAAGGCCAGCCTGGCAATTTTGTGAGACCCTGTCTCAAAGCAAAAGTTTTTAAAAGACGGGATGTAGCTCAGTGGTAGAGGGCTTGCCTCATATGTGTGAGTTCTTGGGTTCAATCCCCCAGTGCTACACAAAAAAAGAAAGAAAAAAGATTGGGAATACACTAAATATTAATAATTAATTGTACCAGAATTTGTCTCCAGGACCAGTGGAGCTTTGCATTCCCACCCAAAAAAAAACAAACTTGTCTCAATCTCTAAAAGTGTATTAACCTCAGAAGTCCTAAAAACAAAACAAAAAAAAAGCACAATTTTTGAAAGAGGTTCTAAGAGCTCCCTTACTCATCTGCTATATTTTTAGTTTATATGGCTGTACGTAGTTGAAAACCAAAGATTTGATCTCCTAACACACAAGTTAATTTTAATTCTCATATTTTCTCAGAATTTCTCAGAATTCTCCATATATTTGGCCCAACTAATGAATGTGAAGTTTTGTGAACACCACCTAGTTCTAAACTGATTACAGCAAAATCATTAGATTTCTTAAGCCAAGGAAAATTTATGATCCACAGTGTGATTCTGTAATTGATGCATAGCTTATTTCGAAACATGGCTCTTGTGTCATCATCCTGTCTAAATGTTTTGAATTTGTCTGCCTCCACCATTAGATTTTTAAGCTCATTAGAGTTTGAAAGAATCATGTATTCAGTAATTATTTTTTACATTCATAATTCTTAAATCACATCTTGATATCAATATATTTTTCTCTTTGAAAGTAAAATGTAATTTTGTTTCAGTTCTCACTCAGGAAATTATATTTAACTTAAAGACTTCCTTTCAGATCTTTTGATTATGATGTTATAGCTAAAAGGTTTTTTTTATCACTATAATATTTAATTAAGCTGTTTTGGTCATGGTGGAGACTGAGAAGCTCATAATATAACGATGTCCCTCTTTTTTGTAGTATGTTCGTGGTTCAGACCCTGTGCTAAAGCTTTTGGACGACAACGGGAACATTGCTGAAGAACTGAGCATCCTCAAGTGGAACACAGATAGTGTGGAAGAATTTCTGAGTGAAAAATTGGAACGCATATAAATCTTGCTTCAATTTTGTCCTTCTGTTCTTTATCAAATGAAATATTATAGCACCTGGAAAGTACTTTAGTTCTGCTTGCTTCTGTTGATGAGCTTTTACTGTGAAGCATTAAGCATCTAATTAGAAGTTGAGGAGGCACACAGCCCGTAATATGTAAGGAGTTGGCAAGTTTAACTAAACCCATTTCTTATAAATTTTTATCCTTCTGCATTTGTTGATGCTACTAATGAAATGCTTTGAAACAGGCTTGTGGTTAGTTATGCAAATGATAGTTTGTAATAATTGGCCCAGTTTTATGAACAACAGATTTTTAAATTAGAGGGGTTAATAAGGGAGATAATATTCCTTCAGTGCAGTGTGCTCTTTCTAAAGTAATGAAAGAAAACCACAAAGCGAGTAAGATGTACCAGGCCTCAACAGATTACCTGTGCCTCAAAGCTCTCATTTTGTATTCCCCAGCTTTCTGTTTAGTCAAAATATTTATAGTTTATAACGAATGCACTGCATAAAAACTTTGTAGCTTCATTGTTAGGAAACAAATTTGAGATCTTCAGTAAGAATGAAATATTCACAAAGGTTTGCATTAATGAAGGCTACACAGAAAACCTTTCTTAAGGATTTGTGTAGATCTAATGTTTGGCAAATTTTTGAGCTTTATATTCTTACAGAAAAGTCTCATTTAAAAATGATCTCTTGTAAGACCAAATTATAAATAAAAAATTTCAAAACTCTGTATGAGTTTGAAATCGTGGTTTATCCTTTCATGTGTAAAAATGTTAAGTTTCTCAATGCATTCTTATTTTTCATATAAGCTTCATTTTTTTAGCCAAAATGTGAAAATGGCTATATTGTTTAAAACCTATCGTAACTTCTTATTGCTGGCAACAGAGTCAGTATTAGTCTTTACTAGCAGTTTGTGTCATGTTCATTTAAAATGCAGTCTATTTTTAAAGAGAGTAAAAAGAATGGATATAATCCTGCATTGTTTGACTATTCAAAGTAGTGTAAAATCCTGGCAAGCAGACAGTGGTCTAATTTGATCATCGATAGCAATGGACTGATCCTTAATAGTTACTGCTGTTTCAGAACAAGAGAGAGATTAAACCTGTTGTGGTCAGTGGGGAGAAAAAAATAAAGAAGAGTTCTATCACATGCAGAAGAATAGTGGTATTGAAGGATGAAACTTCAAAACTTCTCAGATTGGCATAGAAATTGTCTTGGTTTGTAGGCAAGAAGAGCCAGCTAAATGAGTATCTGACATGGGGGTGGTGACCTTAACAGTCTATTGTGTTTAAGTTATTATGCAAGATCAAAGCAGCTGAAGAACACAGCATCGTAGAGCTTCAAGTTTTCAAGTTACGAATAATAGGGTACTACCAAGCCAAGCCCTACTTTTTTAATTGGGAGGTTCAAGTTAATTAGCCAATTCAGAGTGGTTTTTTGGCAATTGAAATCAAAGAACAGCTTTTTGAAGAAACAAAACTGCTGATTACCAAGAAAAGGGTATAAATACCGATCTAAAAAGCACTGTCTTAGCCAAATTCTGACATTTGATTAAGCTTATGCAAGTTCACAAACATGGATATATAGTAGTCATTTGATACTTGTGACTTTGTTCCCGCATCAAAATTGTATTCCTTATAACTTAAAATAGTTAATTTACCTCTAAATTTTCAAATTTAGCAAAGGCCTCTAATGAGGACTATAAGCAAGAGCTTGCCAGGTACCAGTGGCTCACATCTGTAATCCCAGCTACTTAGGAGGCTGAGATCAGGAGGATCCAGTTTCAAAGCCAAGCTGGGCAAATAGTTTGTGAGACCCCCCTATCTCCAAAATAACCAGAGCAAAATGGACTGGAGGTGTGGCTCAAGTTATAGAACTCTGCTTTGCAAGCACAAAGCCCGGAGTTCAAACCCCAGTCCCACCAAAAAAGAAACTGGTGTATTCTATTTTAAAAGGATTTCTAAAATTAATAAAATACAGAAAATGCCTTTGAAAGCAGATAATGCAAAATTGTAGAAACTAAAGGTTAGGGCTGAAACTCAGTGCTAGGGCACTTACCTGGTATGTGTGAGGGAGGCCCTGGTTTAGAGCCCCAGCACCACAAAAAAAAAAAAACCAAATTATGGACAGTAAAATTGGGAGTAACTAGTGAAATGTTTACAAATACATAGGAAATAGTACGGATTTGATATATCTGCATAGCTAGGTAAGTATTTCTTGATAATTAAAATATCATTTTTGGTATTTTAACCTATTTTTACATTTTTGTTTGTGAGTTTACTTTAAAATGGTCCCAAAGAGCTGGGTGCTGGCGGCTAACACCTATAATTTTAACTACTTGTGAGGCTGAGATTAAGCAGATCAAAGTTCAAGCCCAGCACAGACAAATAGTTCACTAGACCCTCTCAAAAATGCCCAATACAAAAAAGGGTTCGTGGAGAGGCTCAAGAGGTAGAGCTCTTTCCTAGCATATGCGATGCCCTGGGTTTGATCCCAACGCCAAAAGAGACAAAAAAAAAAAAAAACCAAACACATGGAACAAGGTTATGTGTTGATAGGTTGGGGCAGTGTGACCAGAGATGCCCAGGTGCATATGTTCAGAGTGGTGCAACTGTTGCCACAACCAAAATTAGAACATTTCATCACTTCAAAAAGAAATCCTGTACCCATTAGTGGCCACTCCCCACACCGAGTCCACCAGTCATGTGGCTAGCATCTTTCACTTAGTATGTCTTCAAGTATCATCCACTGTCATCCACAATACAGTGTATTTCATCTCTTTATGATTGCGTAGTACCCATTGGATCAATAGACCACCCATTACTTGGTAGACATTTGGGTTTTCGTTTATGGTTGTTTTGATAATGTAGTTATATGCCGTCATGTATAAGTTTTTGGGTGTAATTGTTTTCTCTTGAACATAAATGGAAGTGGAATTGCTGAGTTATGTACTATGTTTGACATTTTTTTTCTTTTTGGCAGTGCACATAAAAGCTACATCTCCAGCCCCTCTTATGTTTAACTTTTTGAGGAAGTGTCAGGTTTTTCTAAAGTGCCTATAGTCATTTTGCATTCCCAAGGGCACATCCTAGAGTCTCTTGATGTGTTGAAAAGAACACTCATGATTTTAGTCATATCCTCAGGAGCTATTTAGGTGCATTAAGCACTTTGCCCTCCACTAAAGTCTTCAGATTGGTATTCTTTAAATCTTTGATATTTATAGCTTTCTCAATTTTACTTGCTCCTCTGCTGTCATTTTATTCATTTGTCTCTCCCCCAGCTTTAGTCATTGAAGAAAAAAAAAAGTCTTCACATCTGGCTGAGGTCAACTTCTAGACAGGGGGCAGCCTTTAAACAGCTCAAAAGCATAAGCATACAATTAACAGTTATGGTTTAAAAAAAACAACAGTTGGGCACTGGTAGCTCGTGCCTATAATCCTAGCTACCCTGGAGGCAGAGATCAGACCGAGGTTCCAGACCAGCCTGGGCAAAAAGCGAGACTCCATCAAAAATACCCAACATAAAAAAGTACTGGCAGAGTGGCTCAAATAGTAGAGTGCCTGCCTAGTAAGAATGAGGCGTGAGTTCAAACCCCAACACAGCCAAAAGTAAATATTAAAAATTTGCTAGGAGGAAAATTACAAAGAAGACACAAAAAGTTTAGAGATCTTTGAGAATGTGACCTTTAAATTGAGGTCTAAAAAAAATCAACCGAAGTTCTCAGGAAGAGAGTAAGTTAAAACACCTTCTAGTGAAGGAAGAGGATTTGCAACCACTCTGATCTCATCTAGGAGAAAATCTAGCATTGTCACACACCTAGAAGAAGGTCAACATGTCTGGAGCCCAATAAGCCAGGCAAAAGAGTAGTAGGAAATAAGCCTGGGAAGGTAGGCAAAGAAGGATACATTTTTTACTATCAAGAATTTTGCTGGGGGAGGAGGAGATAAAGGAGAATGATGGAGGCGGTAAATTTAAAAAGTGTTTTTTGTAAGCACTTTTGTAAATGTCACAATGTACCCCCAGTACAATAACATGATAAATAAAAAATAAAAAGAATTTTGCTGTATTCTAAAGTACTTTTAGAACAAAACCAGAAAAGAAAAACCCCTAAACAAAGGAATGACAAAATCCGGTAAGATCAACTGACAATCCTGGGCAATCAGCAAACAGTTATGCCTGTGGAAACAATTAAATGCTTTATCTAATGCAGTCAGTGATAATCAGTAACCTCTTTAAGAGCTCAACCTATACAATTTGCTTTTTGTATATTTTTTATTTTTGTGGTACTGGGGCTTGAACATAGGGACTCATGCTTGCTAGGCAGGCACTTCCACTTGAGCCACTCTGCCAGCCCCACACAATTTGCTTTTTTATAAAAACTACTCATCAACTTGCTTTGGACAAAAAAGACCCCCAAAAAAGGCCAAGTTTCTATTGCTGCATTTCCACCCCAAAACTTAATGGTTTAAAACAATGGCTATTTCTTTTATTCACAGATCTGTAGTGTTGGGCAGGGATCCTCAAGAACAGTTCGCCTCTGGTTTACAAGTCATCAACAGAGCAGCTCAACTCGGGCTAGAGGATCCACTTCCAAAATGGATACCTTACACAGTTGATGAGCTGACAGTTACTTTCCATTGGGCAGCTTGGGCTTCCTCACAGCATGGTGGTGACTGGGGTTCCAAAAATAAGCATCCTACAAATAGGAACTGCCAATTCCTTAAGGCCTGGGCCCAGACTGACAGAAACTTCTGCCATCTTCTACGTGTCAAGAACTCAAAATCTACATTCAAGAAAAGGGGCATAGGCTCAGTAGAGGGGTGTTGTGTTAACTTTGAGTCTGTGACAAAATAACCCGAGATAACATGAAGGATGAAAGATTATTCTTCTCACAGTTTCAGATACAGCATTCCATGGTCGCCTGACTTGATGATTTGGGGCCGATGATGAGGCAGTACATCATGGCAATTAGCATATGACTCACCTCATGGTGGCCAGGAAGCAAAAGAAGGAAAAATAGGTGACAGGAAAGGGCTGGGATTCCAATATGTCCTTCCACAGCACACCTCCACTGACCTAAGTTCCTTCTACCAGGCCCCACCTTCTAAAGCTTCCCCCACCTCCCAATAGTGCTGCAGGCTAGGGGCCAAGACTTCATTCAAGATTCAAACTACTGCAGGTATCAAAAGGCATGATTTAAAACTTCCACATTTCTTTTGCCTTAAACAGTTTTTTCCGTCTGCGATAATCGTAACTTTTCAGACTGAAAAATTGAGTTTTTAGGTGTACCTCCAGATGTAATAGTTAGGCACTCTAGTGATTTAACTGGGTACAAGAACTTAACCTCCCTGGTGTTTGTTTTTTGTTTTGCAGTACTGAGGTTTGAATTCAGGGCCTACATCTTGAGCCACTCCACCAGCCCTTTTTTGTGTTGGGTGTTTTTGAGATAGGGTCTCAACAGACTATTTGCCCAGGTTGGCTTTGAGCCACAATCCTCCTGATCGCTGCCACCTCAGCATGAAGGATTACAGGTGTGAGTCACTGGCACCTGGCTCCTCCCTGATTTCTAATTTGAACACAGCAACTAAATCAGCTTTGTACTGCTAAGGTAATTTTTAATGCATTAGCAAGACCCTCTCAACCTTAACTTGGAGGTGGTAGACACCTTCCCACTTTCCCTGCACAAGTCAGTAGTTCTTATGTCCATTCACTTTATCTGTAATTGGTGGAAACAAACATTATATTCATGGTGCAGATTTGCTTTAAATAATTTAACATTCCCAAACGTGATCAGGCTATAGTACCCAAGTGTTTGGTCAAATACTAGATGTTGCTGTGAGGGTATTTTTTAGATGTGGAGAGCATTTATCATCAGATTTTAAGTA